CCAATTTTCCCGCGAATTTTTTTTTTTTTTCGTGTCACACTACATCATCAGTTACATACAAAACGTTTTAAGAAATCTTTGACGTAAACATGTAGTATTTTGATATAAAAATCAAGAAGAAAAATACCATTGGCTTAGCAAAAAGAATTGTGACAATCTTGCATTGTTCATTTCTAGTAAAAGTGTCTGGGAGGGAGGGTTAGGGGCGTGGCACTTTGTGATGAGTGGGCTGCGATTCTGATTGTTTTCTGTTGTTGTTTACTCTTGATAGCGATCTGCACAAATTGTACGCTGGAACACCATAAAATACGTGAGAAAAGTGATTTTGATCTACATTTGGATGAAGGCATGGAACAGGTCAGCAATGGGCCATTTGAACGATGACGTCTATTTACTAATAAGGCCAGAATTCATTTCGTTTTTCCTTTCATATTTAAATTTGGTAGCCCCAGTGAGGTTTAATTAACAAAAGCCTTAATTTGCACAAGAAAGCAATACCCTGAAGGATTCTGGTCGTAGTAGTAAAATGACGCCTATTGTGCAAATGACCAGTAGCATTGTATATACTCGAGTCCTGAACGAAAGCTAGGGTTGACTCACTAATTACTTGAGTTTGCTAGATAAAGTTTGCATTATATAGTTGGAACTGTCGATGAAATTAAAACTGGAGAAAAATGTGATATTTACAATGATAGAAACACGTGAACAGAGGAATTTGAACCCATGAGTCCAATAAGACCGGTCCGATTCCCTAAATTCTAACCCAAGGGGGATAGCCTAGTCAATGTTTGTATAAATTTTGTTTTGACGAGAAATCCTTGTGAAAAATTTGACATCACGGGATTCAAAACCGCGGTGACCCCATCTTGAAGATGCGATGTTCTTACAAAATGAAGCAAACATTTTCTTCTTTGATGGGTTGCTGCATATTTTACGCTTTAGTTTACATTATGTATTTTCTGAGGAATAATTTAAGTGGACTTTATGTGTTAACGACTAGTTTGTGAAGAACATGAGTTCGTTTGCATGAGTTAAGGTGTGCAAAATAAATAACGTTATAGCCTGGGTCTATGCTCTGCAGTGGAAGAAAAAGGCAAAAAACGAGGTGAAACAGGGCGCCACCCTTTCCCCATCCCAGACTACCGCTCGGCTCGCTTCACTTGTCCATTTTTTTTTCGACCTTGCTGATTTATTTTTCGGCTTTTTCCGCCACTGCGGAACCCTGTACCAGGCTACTGATGTTAGGATTCATTAGTCTATTGCCTAGTTAGATGGCACCAAATAGTTTGCTATTATCTAAGAACTGGCCAATACTGAAACTTCAGAATAGGAGAAGTGCTTACAGTGCAAATACATACAAACGTACTATAATAAAGGCGGAGATAGTCAATTCGTCTCAATGAATTCAACCATTGGACCAAGGCTTGGCTGGTAATGGTTATTCATTATCTAACTAATTTTTTACAGGAAGCTGGTGTATAGTCTTCTTCTCCGGCTTGATTCCAGATTCCGGGACATATTATAGAAGATCGATGACTTAGTCATCAGAGACGAAACGAAAGCAAGAATAGACTTCGAAAATAAGGAGTGCTCTCGAGCAGTTTAAGCCTGGAAAGCACATTTGCTTCGTTCTGTTAATCGAGAAGAAGCAAACCAATACGTTCTTACTCGATCAGCTTGACGAAGAATCAAGCCTGATTTATCATGAACTGGGCGATGAAATATTTGCAACAGCAATGCTTGAAGTCTTGCATTTGGGTTACATATGTTATGAGGCAAAAGCAAGTGAAAAAGCATTAAAATAGATCATAATAGTTTGTACCACTACAGACAAGCAAAACAAGACGGCTAGTCTGATATATTTACCTTTTTACCTTAATGAATTGACACAGTTTTTCAGATTATCCTCGTTATTATTAACTTTGAATGGTTTTTCTTATGCTCGTGAAGGTCGAACTTTGCGGAGAATAAATCCGCGGGGATTCACTGCAGCGTGCCACATAAATTCTTTGGGCGGGAAAAATTCCCTTTTGTATAAGGGGTGTTTCAAGAGGTTAAACGCTCACCTGTGTCGATGTTTAGAAGAAAATACTCTTTCACAGGTAACTAAACAGCCTGATTATCTCAGCTCATCTTTGTCTAGTAAATTTTCGACTTACCGTTCAGCCAAATATTTTTGTATGTTATTTCTTCTCTGAAAATTTGGCGGGACAAATTTCTGCTTGATGGCATTTTAGTGCAACTTTCGACGCCGGCCATAGCGATTTACCTAAAGATACCAATTTTAAGTTTGCTGCATTTTAATAAAGGTACAACAGGCTATTGATACAATAATTTTCTTTAAATATAAACCACGCACGTTTGAAAACCACCACTGCGAAAATGGCCAAAATTTGGCCCACATTCGTTGTCAGTTCAGTGCTAATTTTAAGTGCGACATTTAAAACATAGAGTTAAGCCCAAGAAAGATTGTTATACTTCAATCAGTTTACTGTTGGTCGGAGGTGTGAAAAAACGTATGGCAAGTTTTTGTCACTTTTCTTTCTTTCATATAGGTTCGACAAAAGTTGGCCGAAAATCAAGCTTTTTTAGGCCCGTGTAAAGCCCTGATGTCAAGAAAATATTTATCTTAAAATAAAAAACCCACCAACTTCTAAAAATACCACCGTTGATAATATTTTCAGGTGGCTTTTATATGGTAGAAAGGTGGAGGTCAAACGCCAACCTCGATCTTTTGCTTCTGCCCGGTTTTCTCTGACAATGACACTTAATTGATCATTTCAAACATTTAACTTGTAATCTACAAATCACTTAACTTTAGGGGTGGGGCTGGTAGCCCGATTCTCAGACGTCCGAGGCCATCAGGCTATGCAAACAGTGCAAGAATAAAACAACATCTAAAATCTTACACCAAATAAATAGCAACCACCTTTGACCACAGTAGATTAGGCGTGTGAAACAAATTCTTCCCAAACAAAATGACCTATTTGCCCACCTACACTGTCAGTCCTCCGTGGCAGCCTGCAATTTACACGCAGTACTAGTAACTTATCTTTTTTTATCTCTCTGTGTAATAAAGGAAAGGCCAAAATGAAAGCGGAATCAGGCCGGATTTGTTTGTGTGTGTGTGTACGCTACAAGTTTTACTTTACAAATCTGGTACCGTCAGCGCGTAAACCAGCCTTTTTACATCACCTTCCAGGTAAACAGAACCACAGTCTCGTGCCCTGTGAAATACCAACGCTAAGCTTTTTTGACGTATGGATAATATTCAACGTAGTCTGCTCAGTCGAATTTCCATTCACTACTTTACTTTTACAGTCTATGTAGAAAAGAACAGAGGGAAACACTTTAATTTATGACTTTCGCTACTTAAAATCTCAAAAATAGGTCTTGAGTGGCTTTCAGTGCGGGCAGATGGCTTTCGTTTTGGGAGAAGATTATCGAGTGCACTTTTCAGAATTAATTATTCGTTTTCACTGTTACGCAATTAATACACGGCACACACAAAAAAAAAAACTAAATTGGAAACCGTCCAGTAGAAGAAACCAAGAAAACGAAATGTTATAAAAGACTAATATATAAACAATTTGTCCAAATTTCAGGTATCCGTGGTCTACAGCTCCTGAGTTATTTTCCGAAACATTTCACGCAGCTTCGTAGAGCTTTGTATGCATGGAGACGTCATTGGCCGCCGGAAATCAACAAAAACATCTGCCCGCGTTCACTTTTTCTATAAAAGCTCTTCCTTTTCACTCGAGAGCTAGCACACATGCGCATAAACACATCTTTTAATAATTGAAATGGTTAACCTGCTGAATCAAGAGGACAGCCTTTTTACAAGGAGACAGCATTCCTATTTTGGTGTCACGCACTGTGAAAACTCCGAAGTTCAAATTGCTATATTTTCGAAATGAAACATGCTTCGGGGCTAGAAACTTGTACAAAGATATATTTTCTTTTTGTCTTCAACATAGTGTAAATAAGAATTCGTAAAACCTCGCTTTTTTGACTTTGCAATTTGATGACGTCACTGTGAAAACCATCATTCAGAATAGGGAATGGTAGGCATATCGAAGAGATCAATTAGCAGAGAAAGTAACACTGCACGTTTGTAAAAAGGTCTTCTACTTCAACCTAAAACACAAAGCCATTTCGTTATATTTGTTACATAAAAAATTATCACCTTTAAAAATTAATCATTAAAACTGATATTCAAACGCAAATTCACAGTTCTTGCGATTGATCAATTATCAACAATTTCTAACTCCAAGGCTTTGTTCTTTACTAAAGAAAATAAATTCAAACTTTCGAAAACAGTTACGAGTACTAGAGCGAACCAAGGATAAGTAAATTTTGTAGTGACACCGATGCTTGCCTGCCTATTTTATATCAACGAATAACTCCTGCTTTAACACTGAATATGAGAGTAGTTTACTTGCGAAGATAGGACCCCGTTTACACTGATCCGTGCAGATTTTTGAGCGGACGAATTTTCTTACCGGTGAAAACCGTTTTACACGGAACCGGACAACGTTTGTTGCAGATTGCAATATTGTTAATCTGCCGTCGAAAAATTTGCACAGTTTCGCGGGTCCCGTGTAAGCAAAAGGCGGATTCATGCAAGCTTCTGTCCGTTGAAAAAATTTTCCGGACCCGTGTAAACAGGTTCTATATTAATGATGTTTTGAATAATTAGAGATGTGCTTGTTTTAAAATGCTGATTTATACTGTACATTTATAATTGACCACTCCAGAAAATACCATAACATCCCATAATGCTCTTTGTTTGTCACCCCAAAATTTTGCGTAAGCATTGTCTTCAGTTTCTCTTGGGGCCATTTTAACTCCCATTAGAAACCAAGAGAGGATAAAGGGGACAGAGAAGGCATCCGCTATGCACACCCTATTCCATAGGTAATTAGCATTATGGTATGTTATGGTATTTTCTGGAGTGGTCAATTGTTGTCCTTGCTGGATGCAAACCTCCACTGAACAAACTACTCGTGTGGCGGAAAAGGATTTGTTGTATGGCGGTCAGATGGTGTTAATTCAACAATGGTTGAATCCGGGGTAGATCTTCTTGAACAGGCCTGGCATTTTAAAATGCTCTTAAATGCCTTACGGAAATTTTCTAACTTCCAGGCATACACAAATGGATTCACGCCAGAATTTGCCATAACAAAAACCCACTGAATTTTCCTCGCATACTGAATAAACAAGCAATCGCAGTTAGTGCAGAAATTTACAATGTAAATGCAAACACAAGAAGGCAAATAAAAAACTAAGAATAATATTAAGTTGACCAAAAGCGTTTTGGTCACTCTCTTTTCCCTTTCAATTGCTCGCTGCAACGCAAGATTTTTGGCTGGATTGCCATGTAGCCTGTCCCATTGGTGCACCTGACACCGCAAATAGTTGAAAATCTTCGAGTTAGTGAATATTAGAACAGTTAAGGTTAGGACAACTGCAGTGTTGGCAAAAACAAAGCGAAACTTGTTGTAGCCGACAACAAAATACAGAAGTGTCACAAGAGTTGAGATGATCCAAACCACAACGGAGACAAAGAAAGCTCGCTTTGAATTCAGCTTTGATCTGTATAATAGAGGATACTTGATTGCCAAGTAACGTTCCAGTGCCAATGCGGTCAAGCTAAGAAGCGAAGCAGTGCAGGAAATAAAATAGACCAGGTGCATCCACACACGGAACCGCTGACTTGCTTGTTTGAGTCCAGCCGTAACAGGGTATACTGCTCCCATAGGAGCTGCAAAAAGTCCAACCATCAGATCTGCAAATCCGAGACTGGCTACGAAGTAGCTGAATGACGATCGGAGTTCTTTGTGGGGGTCTAGAAATACTGCGAGTACCACCAATAAATTGCCCACAGAAGCAACAACACCTGATAGTAGAGCAAACGATGCTGTCGCAAAGGACAAATACGCCGGCGCTGAAACGTTTACGCACGGATATTGGTTAAGAAGAGACATCGCTTAATAGTTTCTCTCACTTTCTAGCTTTCAACTTATCGAATGTAAACAGCGGTGCGAAAATCTATGCTGATAATGTTTAACTCAGTTGCAATACGTAAATTGGACACTTTTCGTCAAACAAAACCCTCACTCGTAGAAAAAAAAGTAATGGGCTGACGCTGAGAAGCCAATAACGGTGCTCAGAAGTACGACCTTTCACGCTGAATATCCACTGTAAGAAGTCACCGCTGATTATAAATAGAACTTCCTGAAGTAGTTTCTAATTTTGAAATGCCTTAGCCCTGAGGGGAAAAAAAAGAACTTGTAAACCGGATGAACATTTTTCACGACAGTATTAGCTGAGCTTCTAAAAATTCTTATTATTACAGAATAGTCTTATCTTAAGACAAGAGAGAACGATCTAAGATCTTAGCTCATTCTCTCTTGGACAAGAGAGAATGATCTCATTCTCTCTTTATAAGAATATTGTATTGACGACTCTGTGACGTTTAATTAAAATTAAATTTTGGTTTCTTTCCCACACATTAAAGTTTTTGTTTTGCTTTATTTTACATTGTTTGTTTAATTGCTAATGTTTGCCTGCCTTTCCATTACGATAAGTAAAAGGTTGTAGATGTCGACAGCAGCATTTGCCCTCCAACCATTATCATCGTTTAGTACTCTCCGTGTTTTTAATTAAATGTGTTTGTGTTTTCTCTCCAAGGGAGTAATCATTCTCCTATATAATAATGATCGGCCATATACAGCGCCGGGAATACATTTAATGAGTCCGAGATGTTAGCGAGGTCCAAGTTTCTCACATGTATTAGTGTTAAATCCGTGGCAATGCTCCGAATTACTAATAATTCAGTTGTTTTGTTCAGATCCTTTCCCTCTCAAAGCCAATTGAATTTTGCTCACTCGAAACCATCCTGTTAGAAGTAAACAGCAAGTAGTCGATACGACGCGATCTATATCTCAAACGAGTACTTGGCTGAAAAAAAAAAGGATAATGATCTTTTTTCCATCATTGAATTTTACCACGAGGAGTAATCACAAACTTTTGAAAGTAGGGACAATACAGAGGATATATTTCAAACAATATATTATTTTCGTTTGTCAGGACTAGGCTGTCGGATCTTTGCCCGACCAGTCAGTTTGAGAATGAAACAGGCCGTTTTTCCAAAAGTTTTTTCCTGAAAAACCATCTCCTTCGTATTAGGATTTGACTGATCTAGCTGCAGAATTTTGATTAAAAGGGAAATTCTCATTGCGACGAGAATGGTCTCGCAGGTCAGTTCTGACGAATGGAAAGCGCCCTTAGCTAAAACGGATTAGTTTCGAAAGAAATTGTGGTATCGCTTCCAACGTCGGGAAGTGAAACAAATTCCCTCATTTTGCTTTTTTTAAGGGTAATATACTTCGATTCAAAATTTTTGTAAATCATCCCTCGCGAAGTGAGGCCGGAGGCCTCTTGAAGCCGGTTACAATTATCTCCGAAACCCCCATCGGACCAAAACACCTTTAGTTTAGACAAGTATTCCTTATCGCTTCGATTTTTCCTCGTACTTATTGTTGGTTTTCACATGACGTCACTAAAATTCAAACTACAAAACTATCGATCCTACTGAGGTTTTAATTTCATGGTGTATTGGAGCAGCTGAAAACTAATTTTCAAACAAATTTTCGCTTTAAAAGGGTTCTTGGTTTTGTAATAGACTACGCTCGAATTTCTAAGCTTTTGCGTGACGCAGCATTTACATGACGGCCGAGAGAGCTGTCATTTGGGTTAAAAAAGTGACATTTGTCGAGGAATGTTGCTATCTAAACAGTTCAAGTATTAGAAAAAGTATTACTTTAATGTTTATGAGTTCCTCTAGGAGTAAATTCAAGCTTTTGGAGCAAAACTCGGTAACAGATGTTTCTGTTGGTTTCCGTCCGCAATATTGGAGCTCATCCGGATGAGCTCCAGCATGGCGTCTCCATACAAAGCTCTATAAATTTGGGTAAAACATTTCCTCGGATATCTCTTATACGATTTATTCCTTCGACCCAAATCTTGGCGAGGGTCTTTGTATATTTACCCTCGTTCATTTCCCAGATTCTGGACTTTATCTGTCCAATGGTTTTGATTTTTATTTTGATCTATTTTAAATGGCGTGACACTGAAAACCAGCAATATAATGTGGATGCAATAAGGAATACTACGTTGTATAAGCAAATCATAAAGTGCCTAAGGGGTGTTAGGCTGATGGGAACAACTGCTAGCCCGTGAGGTCAAGGTTATAATTTTGTCGCGAGTGGAACATGCGTGGATCGCATAGCGAGGCAGAAACACGAGTTGCATGGTGAGTGGCGGTGTTTCTAACCAAGTTTCGCGAAGGTATGCGAGACAAGTATTTCTACTGATAAGTAATATCTTCTGCATGATTTGTTTTGCGATATTCTCCAATTCAGGTAACGGCATGAAAACACATGCAATATCAAGAAAAAACAAATACGCCAGTGGAAACCGTCAGTTGGTATCAACAGCCTTAATGTGAAAGAAGATAGAATCAAGTCTTTTACCCGACGTTCATTTTGGGGCCGGCACTCCCAGGTGGTGTGCGCACTACGATTGCGATGCATTGTGGATGCAAAATTTTCAAGATGGCGGCGAAGGTTGAGAAATTTCGCAGGTTATATGCTTTGTTTTTCAATAGATGTATTTCTTTCCTCAGATCGTTTTTCTCAATTTCATAAGCTAATATTTGTTTAGATTTTTTTCTGTGGAGAAAAACAAATTTTAATACTTCATTTCAATCTAAAACGTGGAACACGAAGATGCCTCCTGTAAGAGCAGCTATAATTTCCATTATATTGCCCGACGAAAGTAGAAGTTAGTTTTAAGTGTTTCTACAAACCATGTTCTACGCTAATTTTTTATCGCTCCCCAACGCGCCCCACGTTATGTGATACTTTTTCCGAATCAAAACCGGCATGTTTTCATGGGAAAATGTAGCCTCGCGAAGAAGAATGTGGCATGTTACTGGGACTGTTACTGTTGTAATCACAAGCTAATCACAAAATATCGGGGAAGCGACGACTGTTTCCCCCAAACAATAGCATTAGGTGAGCATAAAATGTTCCAAATTGGTATATAAATAGGCTGATGAGTACTCTATGTTAAGGAATATCTGTTTTGTAATTGGACTAAAAAAACATAGTAAAATTGCAGTCATACATGTGATTCCCTTTATGCAGGTATAACAATGACAGGCATTAAATCAAATGATAAGTTTGATTAAACAGTTAAGCCCTGTGCATTTTGGAACCAGCCATGCTCTATGAAAAATGATTTTTGGGAGAAATGCAAGAGCAGTGCAGTGTAGAGGAAGAAGTTCATTACATCCACCAAGCTTGCACTTTACTTTTATTCAGAGAAATATGCACATCACTCTTGAGAAAACTAAATCATAATCTACTTCCAAGACTAGTGTGTGTTGTTGTGTGGATGTTATGACTATGTCAGTTTCAAGGTATCATGAATTTGATTACTGATTTTACTGATTAGAAATTCTGCCAGGGCATCTAGGCAACAAACTGCTCATTCAGTGGTGACTAGCCTCTGTAGCAGGCATTTGAAAGGAAAGGGAAAGGGCTTGTGGGCGCGAGAGGAATGCGAAGAGTGAAGCGAAGGAGGGAGTGATTTCAACATTCACCTGGTGGATGTTCATAATGCAAAAAACAATAGTCTCCTGGCAGGCATTTCCCTCCCTCCTCTCGTTTCTCTTGCACCAAAAACCCACTTTCCCTTGCATTTGAAATGCCTGCCACACAGGCTAACTGATCTCACTCAATCTTTTTACCCTTTTACACTGGTTAATATATATCAAGCAATTTGCATATTTTGGTGGCTTGAGGTAAAATATATATCGCTTGATCATTGAATGTACTTTTGATACTGGAAAACCAAGGCTGAGAAAATGGTGACGCGGAAAGGGAAAAAAAAGTGGAACAATGGAACAGTAAAATCGTGTGAATAAGAACCTGAATTAACCAAGTAAGCCTTAACAGTTTCTTATATAAATAGTAGTTAGCACAAGTTTAGGCTATTTAGGTTTTTAAATGGGTTCATATTTTCTGAAGAAAAACTATAGCTAAGGGTATTTGTGTTTCACCTTATTCCTCATATAAAGTCTGCATACCAAATTAGAAGTTATGCGACAATGGACATAAAAAGAGGAGTGTATCTAATTTGTAATTGTATCAATATAACAATTTTATTTAATTTAAACATTGGCATTTACATTGCAGTTGGAGTGATAAAACAGTTTTGTCTCCAAAACAGATTCTAAATGTTGATTTATCTTTGCCCAAGTGTACAGAATTTTTTCATAGGTGTTAAAAATAAGAACCTGTTTCGAATTTTAGGCTGAACAGGTTTTTAGATAGAGGGAGCTCATCTGGCATATTTTAGCCTAACAGGTTCGTAAAATTCAGGTTCTAAGTCACGGGATTTTACTGTACTACTAGGATCCACCAGGCCCCGGTTTTTCAAACGCTGGATAGCGCTATCCACCAGATAAAAATCTATCTAGTGGATAACGCAATTGGTTTCCCTAATACTTATCCGCCGGATAGTGATTTATCCGGTGGATAGCGCTATCCAACGTTTGAGGAACCGGGGCCAGTGCAATAACTAGTAAACCCAAAAGCCCGCTTTACGAACAACCGCTTAATACCGACATCTTTTCAAAGCTGTGCTCTAGCAGAGCCCGGTGGCCCCTGGTGTCTAACTTTTGCTCTTGGGGTGACTAGAAAATCTCAGACATTTCATACAAATCATATATGCTGGGCAGCCTAGATTTTACAGGTTCAGAGAACTGGGCTCCTTTCAATGTTCATTAGAGCACAGCCTTGCTCATCATTACAGACGGCTTGCTTTGTTCCCTGGAAAAAAACCCTTAATTTTTCTCTAAATTAAATGAACAATTTTATGGTCCCCTCAGTGTCTGTACAACAGGGTTTGACTGTAAATATAATGAGACCTATGACACCATATTTGAATTGGGAAAAATTGGGGGGAGGGAGGGTCATTACAAGAAAGGAAAGGGGTCTCCCGCTATATTGCCGCAGCCCTGATTACAGGAGATTTGTAAACATATATGAATTTCACATTTTGAAGAGGTTTTGTAATAGAAAAAAATATGTAATAACATGTGTTTGTACATACTGACATAATCCTTAAACAAATAGTGACTGAATAGCTTTTAAAATCTATTGACTGCATCAGGCTTTGTAATTAAAAATATGCCATTTCCAGTTTCAATCCAGTTATGAGACATTCTATGACTCATACCAATAACAAATATATATGCAAATTTGCAGTACTGCTGGAATAAAGGTGTTCAATATTATCTGATAAAGAGGACACAAGTCAATCCTTGTACACAAATACTCTCTACTTTATTTACTTGTCTTCATGTTATGATAAATACAGATGTTAAACACAACGAAATGCAGACTTGGTACCAACAGAGAACTAAGTCCTTGAAAAGATGTCCCCCTCAACTTCTCTTATTATACCTAGCAAGTAAACATCTTGCAATGCTGAATGATAAAAGAAAGTAAGCTTACTGTGTTTAAATACCGTGGCCGGGTATTCTGAAGAATCTCCTCGTATTTTATGAGTATATCACAGCTATGCATATCAGTACCTCTTAGCACTAGTTGCACTGATTTCACGGTGAATTCAAATTTTTCGGCGAACCGCAGGTCTTACCTTCAGTGCTTTTCATGATTGATGCATTGAACAAAGCGATTCTCTGCCGACTTTTCTCGGTCAGTTGCAAATAGGATGCAAGTGATTACGAAGAGAATACACCAGAATACACTTATCAACGGAATGAGACTGTTTTTTTCCTTGAAAATTCGACAGAATTTGTTTTTCGAAAGCTTCCGGAAGAGATTCAAAGCAAAATCGTATATTTCTACAGCGCAATTAACGAAAATTCACTCCACAGTCGAGATGTTTAGTCCACGCCATCTTGACACAAATGATCAGATTTTGAATACCGCCCATGATGCTTAGCGATCGTAGTGCGCACACCGCCTGCCGCACTCCTAAATTTTGGCACGCGGGCCGTAAATCTAGGGAACAGCCTGCGTCATTTACACGACAAAAATAAGTTGGATTTGTTTCAATGTTGATTTCGGGCAGGCACCCCTGACTAGGAAAGGCACTCTTAAAAAAGTGAGCCGCCGGGCATTTTTACAGCGGTTCCCGAGGCCTTGACATAAGATTCCCGCCAAAAGTCACCCACTCTTAGCGGTCAGCAAAGGATCAGCATAATTTTTCGCTGGTTGTACAAAACATTGAAGTCGAAGAACTAAAAAAATGGCAATTTTATGGATGTTAAGCTCACCAAAAAGAAAACAAAACGAAGTAAACGAAACAAGGTCATCATCTAAACAATTTTTAAGGTACTTAAATGCCGACAATACGGCCTTTTGAAGGCTATTTTGAGCTGCTTAAATCATCATCGACTGAGAGAGGTTTGGACACATCCTCGCTCTTTTGCATGGTTTGACATGGATGAAGTAAGATGAACTTATGGTTATAAAACTTCATAGAAACCCGCGGAACTTTTGAATATTTCCGAAGATATTGCTCGTCAGGATACACCTGTGATGCGAAAGGCCGTTGCTCCAAATTGTCGACTAGCGATAACATTGTATTATCTCGCATCCTTATACGGATATAGAACTATTGCAACTTTATATTTGGGGTGTCTTCTTCGTTTGTGTGTACTCGTATCCATGGCGTTCGTGAAGCAAAAGCGAGAAGAGCGGCGTCAGTGATCGGTGATCCCCCACCGCAAAATATTTTTTCGGCACACGGGCCTCCTTTTAGGCAGGCCAGGACCACCTCGGGGGGTGGTTCTGGCCCACCTGATTTTTTCGGACCGCGTGCCAAAAAATTTGCATCTACAAGGCAAAAAAAAGGCGGGCCGTCCTCAAAGAAACGGTCCGCGTGACCATCTTTAGGAGTGCCGCACCCAAAATGAATGTCGTGTAAATGGGGCTTCAGACTCGTGTTGTAATCCTTGTTAAGAACCTCTTGCTGAAACAAGATATTGATGATATAATACAATAATACAACGCTCAATACAGCAGCGGAAAACAACAAATCTAAGAAACGATGAAATCTACAACAGGAAAGTAACACTACTGTCGCTGGACGTTTCGTAAACACGATGACCTTGGAGGAGAACGAAGAACATCCTACGAAAAACAGCAAAAGGAAAACACTTACCCACTCCAGCGAGGGGAGAACTCTACGAAACTATGTCCTACGGCTTGACTAGTGAACGCGGCAACTGAAACTGTACTAATGGGTAGAAACGCTACGTGCGGGCGTATTTTTATCGCGCTGAACACAAATGGCTCGCATCCTGTTGTTAGCAATACGATTGGACGATTGGTAAGCCACAAAACAGTGAAATCTTCCTTTTGGCAATACGCCTGTTTGTAAAACACTATTATCACTTTACTGCAAAATACATACGTGTTCTGTTAATACAATAGGAGGAAACAAATGGAAAGTTTCGCTGTTAACTACAGCAACGGCGGCAAATTAAAGCGAGCTAAAGTCAATTAATTTCTTTCCTGTTTAAGGGTGTAACGGTGGAGAAATCACAGGGCTAGATAAAACACGGCTAACCACAAAGCAGAACTAAAGAAACGCGTACCGTGGGAAAACGATAAACAGAGCCGCAAAAATAATACCAAAAAGAAAATGCTTTGTGAGCTGATTATCGAGCTCGGTTACATTTCTCCCCTGCTTAGGTCGTCGTCCTCGACAGACCACAATAATGCTTATTTAAACTAACAAACTTGTTTTACCAAAAGCTATATGCTAAGAACCAAAATAACAGAATGAAATATACTGGAAAGTGTTTAACAGTCAATGTCTCTGAGTTATTTACTGTTGATCTTGGAGCTCTATGGGGATTAGAATGCTGTCCTCAGGTTCTGCATAGGGCGCTGGGTCTCCTAGGGTCGCTTCAATGGGCATTTCTGGAACTGGGGGCTCACTGGTTTCTGATTCTTCCGGGGGGTTCACAGGCTCACAGGGTCCTAGAGGTGCTGTGTTCAATACAGGATGGGGGCGTCTTCTCATCACGATTATCTCTTCATCATCTTGGGGTTCAGCGGGCACTTTGTTATGTCTCGCTCTTGGGGGAATCAAATGTGTCTACATGATGCGGTTGGTGTCAAAGCATGGCTGTACCTAACTATGACATGGTCTCATCAGGGTCCTCCTATACACTCTCTCGCTGGGTCCATCTCCGTGGGCTGGAGTAACTGTATAAATAGCTTCTGTAGGTCCTGGCGTCTCTTGGACTTTGTACAAGGTGGGATCCCTAGGATCCTGTATCTTGTTTCTGCCTCGAGGATGGTTGCGTAGGTAGACAAACTGGCCTTTTTCAATTGGCTGGTCATTAGTACTCTTGTCGCTGATGGCTTTCCGAGCATCTGCTTGTTGTCTGAGGTGCTCCCCTACTCTGAGGTAAGCATCTCGTAAGCGGTCTTGGTGGGAGGCTAGCCAGTCTGTTTCAGGTGGATCCTTTTCGTCTGCTCCAAGCATTAGGTCTAACGGTAAGCGGGGGTTACGGCCGAACATCAGGTAATATGGAGCGTAGCTGGTGGTTGCATGTGGGACCACGTTATAGGCATAAAGAAGTTCTGGGAGGTACTCTGGCCACTTTCTCTTCTTTTCTGGTGGTAGTGAACGCAACAGGTTGTGCATGGTTCTGTTAAATCTTTCACATTGGGCATTGCCTTGCGGATGATAATGAGTGGTATGCGATTTCTTAATGTCGTACAGCTTACAGAGTTCGGTGATCACTGCATTCTCAAAACTTCTTCCTTGATCGGAGTGGATTCTCAGAGGGACACCATACTTAAAAAAACATTCCTTAAGGAGTACTTTAGTTATGGTGCTCGCCCGCTGGTCTCTGGTAGGAACTGCGTGTGTGAACTTTGTGAAAACATCTGTCATCACCAACACGTTCTCCCTACCATCTGTGGCTGGCTCCAACAGTGTGAAGTCCATCGCAAGAACGTCTAGGGGTCTAGTAGCTAGGAGGTGTCCCATGGCTGGTCTAACACGTGGTAATGGTTCTTTAGACAAGGTACATCTTTCACATTTCTTTATCCATGCTTGTACATCGCTATGTATTCCTGGCCTGTAGCAACGGTCTCTAATCAGATTTAATGTTCGCCCTGACCCTTCGTGGCCCATACCATCATGTAGGCTGGTGAGTACTTTCTCTTTAAGTTTTTGGGGAAGGATCAACTGTTTTCCTTGGCCGCAATGGGGATCTTGAATGACTCGATACAGTAGGCCATTTTCCTCTTCAACCTTGTCCCATTGGTTGACAAGATGTTTAACAGCATCTCGTGTTTCTCCTCTTCTTTCTTGGGGGGAGGTGGGTTTGCGGTTGTTTTGTCTGTAGTAGTGGAGGCGACTAATGACGGGGTCTGCAATCTACATGTCTCGGAACTAAGCTGGGCTGTGAGAGGGTAGGCTGGTGAATGTTGTCTCTGGCCGATACTTGTGCGCAGTTGTTCTGGGGAGGTGCAGGTCGTCACCAACTCTCTTAGTTCGACTGGAACAGGTTGGATTGCATGACGCTTATGTTTTCCAACTGAATCTCAGCTAAATCGTCAGCATGTGGGATTTCCTTTTCATGATTTCCACGTGCTATTCTTCAAGGTGCATCTGCGTTTCCATTAGCTCTTCCAGGGCGGTACTTCATCTTAAAGCTAAACAAGGCTAGTTCAGCTGCCCATCTCTGTTCCATTGCTCCTAACTTGGCTGACTGAGGGTGACTTAGGGGGTTGTTGTCTGTGTACACCACGAATTCTTTTCCTAACAGGTAACTTCTGAACTTCTCTGTGACAGCCCACTTCAGCGCTAGTAACTATAAGAACTATAATTCTGCATGTTTTTCTCTGGGGGTCTAAGCCGACGACTTGCATAAGCGATAACTCTACGTCTACCATCTTGTTCCTGGGATAGCACAGCTCCTAGTCCGTCATGGCACAATAAAAGGCTTGGTGTAATCTACGCAACCAAGTACTGGTGCAGTTGTGAGCTTCTCAAGCATGGTTTCAAATGTTTTTTGGTACTCTTGGTTCCATTTCTCTTTAAAGGGGCACGACAGTTTCTTGTTAACTTTGAGTTCATGAAGTGAATTGTTCACTAGCTGGTGAAGGGGTGCTGCTATCTTGGCAAAGCTTTCAATGAATCTTCGATAGTAACTTGCGAGGCCGAAGAAGGTTCTGAGTTCCTTAACAGTTTATATGGAACTGGCCACTCTTGTACGACTGCTATCTTCTCGGGCTCTGGGGCGATACCAGCACCAGATACTTCGTGTCCCAGGTAGGTTACTCTTCTACGCAGGAAGGTACACTTTTCCAACTTCAATTTCAGGCCATGTTTTCTCAGGCGTTTAAGGACCATTTTTAGTCTCTCAAGGTGCTCTTCGAAGGTTTTTGAGAAGATCAGGATGTCATCCAGGTAAACAAGCAACATCTGGAAGATCTGCTCATTTAGGCAAGCTTGCATAAGCCGAGCAAAACACGCAGGCGCGTTACAGAGTCCAAAAGGCATCCTGTTGTACTCAAACAGACCAAAGGGGGTTATGAATGCAGTCTTCGCTTTGTCTTCTTCAGTTACGCCTATCTGGTTGGACCCACTTTCCAGATTCAGCTTGCTCCCTGCAGTGCATCGAAAGATTCTTCGATCCGTGGTTAGGGATAAGCATCTTTCAACGTTTTTGCGTTTAACTTTCTGTAATCCACACACATGCGGAGGCTACCAATCTTCTTCCGCACAAGTACTATTGGGAAGGAATAGGGGCTGTGGCTCTCTTGGATTATGCCTTTACTTATGAGTTTCTGAATGTGTTCTTTTGCTTCTTGGTACTGTCCGGGGGGTATTCTTCGGAAAGGCTGATTTACAGGAATGTCATCAGAGGTGAATATCTTGTGCTTTACTGTTTCGGTGTAGCCTAGTTCATCATCATCAGTAACAAACATGTCCTTGTACTTGGCCAGGAGGAGCTCATCAAGTTGTACTTGCTGCTCATGGGTGCAATGCATGTCTTCAGGGGGAATAGGTGTAGACTTCGAGGAATCTTCTTTCTTGGGGGATTCCTAGGGCTTGGGTTGCATGACTACTTCACTGGCAGAGACTTGTGTGATAGCAACTGCCTGGTTGTCATCCTGGACACCTGCTACTGCACGCATTATACCAATTCTCTCACGGGAGCGAAGCCAAACATCTTCTTGTGCTATCTTAGCAACTTGTACTTTGACACATCCACGACTGAATGATGAGAGGGTGCTCATGATTACCAGTCCATGACATGGCAGATTTTTAACCAATCTCTTGGTTCATTCTTTGTATAATGTTCATTCCAATCACACCTGGCACAGCTTCTTTACAGGCTTTTGATTTGGGATCAGGGGGGTCTCGTAACACGAGGATACCTCTCTTAGGGATGGTTACACCTTGTGCTTTAAAGTCTAGTTCCAGGTAGCTGTATGGGTAAGCCATTGGTTCGTGTCAAGCAGTTCGCTTCTTCTAGGACGGAAGTGCTTATTAAAGAAACTCTCAGTGATGGTGGAGTCAAGAGTCAAGAAGACAGCGTACATGTACTCCCCCCAGTTTCACAGTAGTGACTGGACAACGTCCAACTACTCTCTCATAGACAATTCCAGGTAACTGCGGGATACAAGGTGAGCCAGGACTGTTCCCTCCTGCCGCCTGACTCTCAGCTGCATGGGGGGGGGCTAGTTTGACGGGTCAGGTGGAGGCCTGGGGGTGAGGGTCCGGAAGAGTGGGGGTCTACTTCTTGCTGTGCAATTTGGGGCAAAGTGTCCTGGAGCTCCGCACTGATAACACCTGTCACCACCTAAGTCAGGCCTGGGCTGTCGCTGCTGAAACTGGGGCTGAGGCTGTACATTCTGTCCTCTGTTGGTGGACACTGTGTTCAACTTCTTGAGATTGGCTGCCAGATCTTCAATAGCCTTTTGCTGGCCTTGCAGGGTTTTAATCATCTCATTCATGGCTGATTCGAGGGAAGAGGGCTTAGTGGAGGTACTGGTCTCATGCGACGAAGCCACCCTGGGGCGTGGTCCACAGGACTTCTCGTCTTCATCAGCACAGCGAATAGCTTCCTCTCTGGTGTCTGGAAAGGAAACTTCCGGGTGTGGTCTGATAAATTTCTTAATTTCCTTTCGAAGGAGGGGACTTTTAACATTTTCAGCAAAGTGGTCTCGAAGAGCTGCGTCTTGGCCACTTGATTTGGTCACACTTTTCTTCTCTATCTTAGCTTGCAGTTCCCTTAGCGCTTGGGAGAATGCACAAAGGTTTCGCCTTCCCTCTGTCGGCGGTCATAAAAGGCTTTTAAGAGCTGGGGAACAGAACGCTTCCCAGCAAAAGACTCTTGAAGGAGGTCGAAGATCTTATCCGAATTCTTAAGGTCACTTTTAGGGTAAAGTTTCATTTCTTCTTTCGCAGGGCCCTCTAGGTATGAGAGTATGAAATTCGCCTGCTCTGGGAAGGGGAGTCCTCTTGAAGTGATTGCTCTTTTCGCATTATCAATGAAATCCTCTATGGACAGTTCATTATCTCCATGTCTTCCACTAAACTTCCTCAATTCTAGGAAAACGAATAAAGCAACAAAAAGGGAAAGAAAGGGGCGATGAAAAGGGCAATTCCGCTAAAAGGAAACAACGACGTTAAAAATTACTAAGACGGTTAAAAAATACACGCTAAGAAAATAAAACTACACTAAAATGTAAAAAGTAAACAAAACACGCTAAGAAACAAGATAGGTCACGAAAGAAGAACAAGCGTGACAAATAGTACGTGACTCGTGTCAAGAGTCCTATGATACGAAGACAAGAAAACACAAGCTAAACGAGGTCAAACTGAAAGGTTGTGATCTACGATCTCGCACAAAACGGTGGCAAAATTAAGAGAAAAAACTAAGCTAAAAAAATAACAACGGATAAGAAACTAAAAGATAATGACTTCAGAGCGAAAGCGCTCAATACAACAGCGGAAAACAACAAATCTAAGAAACGATGAAATCTACAACAGGAAAGTAATACTACGGTCGCTGGACGTTTCGTAAACACAATGACCTCGGAGGAGAACGAAGAACATCCTACGAAAAACAGCAAAAGGAAAACACTTACCCACTCCAGCGAGGGGAGAACTCTACGAAACTATGTCCTACGGCTTGACTAGTGAACGCGGCAACTGGAACTGTACTAATGCGTAGAAACGCTACGTGCAGGCGTATTTATATCGCGCTGAACACAAACAGCTCGCATCCTGTTTACATTACCAATACGATTGGACAACTATAGCTAGGTAAGCCACAAAACAGTGAAGTCTTCCTTTTGGCAATACGCCTGTTTGTAAAACACCATTATCGCTTTACCGCAAAATACATACGTGTTCTGTTAATACAATAGGAGGAAACAAATGGAGAATTTCGCGGTTAACTACAGCAATGGCGGCAAATTAAAGCGAGCTAAAGTCAATTAATTTCTTTCCTGTTTAAGGGTGTAACGGCGGAGAAATCACAGAGCTAGATAAAACACGGCTAACCACAAAGCAGAACTAAAGAAACGCGTACCGTGGGAAAACGATAAACCGAATCGCAAAATAATACCGAAAAGAAAACGCTTTGTGAGCTGGTTATCGAGCTCGGTTACATCAGCATACGCCTTTCTCAGCTTCAAGTTAAAGATCAGAACAGTTTTCTCCCATTATACTCGGGGCACCCAACGAAAACATAGTTCAAAACCACTTAAGCATAGCATTGTAAAACGTATTTTAGTATTTAAACGGTAGATATAGGCATATTTTTATCCCCTAAAATTTTTTCATCTGTTCCGATTTCCTATCTGAAAGTCTAGTAATCCGAGAATTATAGGGATCAAAACTTGCCTTTTCGAAAATTTCAGCCAGAAAAAAGGCTCCCGAAATTTCTAGGTGACCTTTTTAGGGTAGAAATCCGTTAAAAATGGGCACTTATACCATTTTTTAGATGTTCGAAAATTCCAGGAGAGGCAGGCAAGCAAGAAATTTTACAACAAATGTTCCGAAAATTCTAGATCTCAAATCGTCTTCCGAACAGATGTTTTCCGAAAATTGACGTTGGGTGCCCCTATTCAAACTTCCACTGACTCTGCTGGCTGTACTCCTGCGGTGGTAGTATTTGAAGTTCCTTCAGTACTTGATGTCGATATTTGAAGCAAGTTCACCGAGATTGACCTTAGACGCCTCATGCATGCACGGCATGTTAAAATATTCTTAAAGGCTCTGCGGAAATTATCTAACCTCAACGCATACACAAAGGGATTCACTCCCGAATTTGTTAACATCAGAACAAACTGAATGTCTCTCACCCAGTGAATAAACACGCAATTACAATTAGCGCAAAAGTTTATGATGTAGATACAAATGCACGATGGCAAATAAAACGCTAAAAATAACATCAACACAATAACAAGCGTCTTTGTGATCTTTTTCTCCCACTTGATCGCTTGCTTCTTCGCCAGATTTTCTTCGGTGTTGTCGTGCAGGTTGTTCCATTGTTTAACTTGAGCTCGCAAGAACTTGAAAATTTTCGAGTTGGTGAAAAGCAACACAACGAACGTCACGACGACTGCAGTGTTGGCGAAGACGAACCGAAACTTGTCGTAGCCTACTGCGAAGTAAATCATGGATAATGAAACAGACACGGTCCAGACACCAGCAGAAACTAATAAACTTCGTTTTGCGTTGAGCTTCGATCTGTAAAATAGAGGATATGTAATAGCGACGTAACGATCTAACGCCAGGGCTGAAAGGCTCAGAAGCGAAGCAGTGCAGGAAATGAAAAATGAAACATGCATCGTTTTTCTGAGGGGTTGATTAGGGATTCCAAAACCCTCGAAATAATGATAAGCTAGACCGAGAGGAGCAGTTATGAGACCAACAACAAGATCCGCCAAACTCAGATTGACTACAAGGTAGTTGAACGGTGATCGCAGGTCCTTGTTTGGGTTCAGGAAAACGGCAAGAATCACAAGGAAGTTTCCCACGGAAGCAACTATCGTGATCAGTGTAGAACAAGAAGCAGTCAAGAAAGACAAATATGTCGGAGCTGTTACATTGCTGCAGGGATATTTTCCAATGAGCGACATTTTCTAACCAGCGGAGGCCTCGTACATGTAGCTTTGAATATGACAAATGTTGAATAATTAAGCGAGCATTGAACGCAGCACGTTTTAGAATACTTCCGGTCGAGGTATTTTTAGCCATCCTTCTTGACCTTTTATTAGTTAATGCTGTAGGATATTTGCTTCAATCAGCATATTCCCACCCTTCGATGTATCTTTATAATTTCGTTTTTATTTTTTATTTATTTATTTTTTTTTAGGCGGGGGGGGATTAAGATTGTGGGGGAAGACTTCATTTCATTTTATTTTTTATTGGTTAATTCAGATTTACAATTTTGTTTTCTTACACGTACTGCCCACAAATAGCTAAGGCTAGTCTAGGTGGGCAATGTCTGTAACAAAATACGCACTCCAAATGATATTCAATTGACAAGTTAACACAAGTTATTTATATAAATGGTACAAAAGGTAAAGAGCAGAAGAAAAGTTACGTCTTTAAGCTGTCTTAACTCATGTTTCCTTTCAATTGTAAGTACTCCTGCGGAGCTCAGAACCCCTCTACGTGACCGTCTTCCACGCACACGTAGAGCAATGAGTAGGGCTGTAAGGCTCTGCGTAATGAGTATTCAAACAGTTCAATCATCAATCCTTGGATTAGAAATCGACGCTGATTGACAGGTAAAACAATTCAGAGCTCAATAAAAAATGAAAAGTATTACTAGAAGGGTGGGGTTAAGAAAAAAGCCTAATATCGTATCGTGTGGCATCGGAAATGTATTATCTTTAAGACATTTCCCCGTTTTTTGTTCTTTTAATTTCATTTATTTATTATTTGTGTTTTTTATTTGTTTATAATTTTGAACTATGTCATATTATTATTTATTCATTTATTTATTTACTTTTCTATGTTTTTCTTTGTTATTGTTGTTGTTTGTTTGTTTGCTTTTCGTTTTTATTTTACAAGAAGAAGTACATTGAGAACAGTGAGATTAATGTTGTTCTCCTCTCGGAGGTAATTTCAATATCCAAACTTTAACTCTGGTGAACAAATCGAGCCCCATATATTTGAGAACAAAAGAACTTCCTGAGCCGCATAAATAGCGTCATAGTCTTAGGTCAATCATCTCTAATTAATAGTTTTTATTTTCTCCATATTCAACAGACGTCTGCTTGTCCTCCAGCGGCATTACTATTCGATGGCTCATCAGTGCTTAATGTCGATAATTGCGTTAGATTTATTGAGATGGACCGTAGACGACGAAGGCATGCACGGCACGTTAAGATACTCCTAAAGGCTTTGCGGAAGTTCTCTAACCTTAATGCATACACGAAAGGATTTACTGCCGAATTTGCCATCACGAGAACAAACTGAATGTCTCTGACCCAGTGAATAAACACACAATGGCAGCTAGCGCAAAAATTGATGATGTAGATACAAATGCACGATGGTAAATAACAAGCTAAAAATAACAGCAATACAATAACAAGTGTCTTTGTGATCTTTTTCTCCCACTTGATCGCTCGTTTCTTCGCCAAGTTTTCCTCGGTAGTGTTATGGAGGTTGTCCCATTCATTTACTTGTACGCGGAGGAAGTTGAAAATTTTTGAATTAGTAAAAAGTAGTACAAAAAATGTCACAGCGACGACAGTATTCGCGAAGATGAAACGAAACTTGTTGTAACCTACTACAAAGTAGAAGACTGATAATGAAATGGAGACGATCCAAACAGCAAGAGACGCTAAGAATGTTCGAACCGGATTGAGCTTGCTTCTGTAAAACAGGGGGTACGTAATTGCCGCGTACCGATCTACTGCCAAGGCTGCCAAGCTCAGGAGTGAAGCGGTGCAGGAGATAAAAAAACCCACATGCAGCGTATCTTCTAGGTACTGGTTCCGGTGACTGACTCCCTCCATAACATGGTAGGCTACGCTCAGGGGAGCAACGATTAGTCCAACGACAAGATCCGCAAAGCTCAGATTGGCTACAAAGTAGTTGAAAGGTGATCGCAGGTCCTTGCAGGGATTTAGGATAACAGCAAGAATCACAAGGAAGTTTCCAACAGTCGCGATGAATGCAATGAGTGCGGAGCAACAGGCCGTTGAGAAAGATAAATATGTCGGCGCTGTGGTATTGTCACACGGATACTTTTCAAGAAGAGACATTTTCTTTTTTCCTCAACAGTCAGCAGCCACGATGATTTAAAAAAACGTGCCGCAAAATTTCAGAATACGAAATTCTTCCGCCGGGGTCTTTAGTTTCGGTTTCTACACTTGAACCGTCAGACAAGCTGTGGCCGATTCCTTAATTTATTTTTAGATCTGCCCCCGGAAAAACGACCCCTTACAATAATAGTCACATTCACTGCATTCACGAAGCGCATCAGTAATCAAGGTTTGCGCATGTCTTGAAAGAGGCATTTAGCACCATTTCGTGATTTTATCAGGAACCCTACCACTTATAATAATAATTTTTTTTTTGCTTTATGGCTACTTTAAAGTGAAAAATTGTTGAAACAAGGGTTAACATTCATGATTATTACGTCATAATGACGTTCAGCTGTCAATCAAGCCATATTGTCAATGAAGTTAGATCCAGATGATTCCAAGAAATAACGACCACTGATCATGACTACATCTTCCTGAGTAATTTCAGTAGGCCGATGGGGGGGCCTCCGAAGAACACCCCCTCCCCTCTTACCGCATGGCCCCCATTAAAGCAAAAAGAAAGAAAAACAAACAAACAAACGAATGGACGAACAAACTTAACTCACTCAATCAACCTCCTCATCCCGCAAAACTAAATTTATCTAACCCTAAAATTTTACCAATGCCACTATGAGAAAAGTGCATTTTAAAAAGCAGTTAAACGACCTCAGATTTGATAGTATCACCGGTGTTTGTATTCAACGACCCATCAGTAGTCAAAGTCGACACCTGTGTTAAGGACCGAAGTTTCAGGAATGCTTGGCAAGTCAAGATACTCTTAAACGCTTTGCGGAAATTCTCTAACCTCCAAGCATATACAAATGGATTCACTCCAGAATTTGTCATCATTACGACAAACTGAATGTCTTTTAGCCACATAATAGACACACAATCGCAATTGGAGCAAAAGTTTATGATATAGATGCAGATGCAAGATGGCAAATAGGAAGCTAAGAAAAACAATAACATAATAACAAGGGTCTTTGTAATTTTTTTCTCCCTCTTGATCGCTTGCTTTTTTGCCAGGTTTTCTTCAGAGCTGTCATGCAGATTGTCCCATTGTTTAACTTGAGCGCGCAGGAACTTGAAAATTTTTACGCTGGTAAAAAGCAAGACGACAAAGGTGACAACGAGGGCTGTGTTTGCAACGATGAACAAGAACTTATTGTAACCCACTGCAAAATAAATCATGGATAATAGAATGGAGACCATCCAGACACCAATGGCCACTAAGAGACTTCGTTTTGTGTTGGGGTTTGACCTGTAAAACAGAGGATATGTAATAGCGACGTACCGATCTAGCGCCAGGGCGGACAGGCTTACGATCGAGGCAGTACAGGAAATGAAAAAGGACACACGCATCGTTCCTCGAAGACTTTGATCAATGATATCGAGTCCTTGAAAGAAATGATACACTGCACTAAGAGGAGCGGTAATGAGTCCAACGGCGAGATCTGCTATACTCAGATTGACTACAAGATAGTTGAAAGGTGATTGCAAGTCCTTGTTGGGATTCAGGAAAACAGCAAGAACGACAAAGGAGTTTCCAACGGTCGCGACGATTGAGATCAGTGTAGAACAAACAGCTGTCGAGAATGATAAACATATCGGCACTGTGGTATTGCCACAGGAATATTTGCCGAGGAAGGACATATTTTCAACTTCCTCAAGCGGCTTCGTGGCCCCAACCAGAAAAACGAAGTTTCGGAAATACATACATGTCCAAGAATAAAGACAGCACCATTAGGATTGAACCCTCTGTACTACATAGCTTCCGGCTTAATGTATTAAATCTCTACATGACCTCTGAGTCTATGGGCACCTTATGCAATTAACTTAACGTAGTCAGAGGAGGTTTATGACTTCTCATTATTTATTTATTTATTTTAATTTCCTTTTTACCGTCAGAAAACCAAGGATTACGAACTTAACCTTATGCATGCATTTTCAAATGACATAATTTTTCATAGCAACATTCCCCCACCCCATCCCACATTTTGGCTTTTTCATTTTGCCTTTTTATCGTCAATCCTAGTGAAATATCGCAAAGTGAATCTTGGCGAGGCCTTTTGTTTATTTATATTCTTTCATTCTCCACATTCTTTATTTAATGGTTTGCACTCTTTTTTGCTACAGGGAAAACAGAGAATAGCTTTAGGGTATGACCTGTATATGGTGAATTGATAGCATCAATAAAGACTGCGAAGCACTGCAGATGATAAGTTTCTCGGCAGAGCATTATAGCTAAGGGTCAGCGTTGTGGCCTTCCTCAAGGCGAACAATTTAGTAGTGATATAATTAGTTATCAATAGTAAGGTTAAATCTGGTTCAAATGCAGTACTCGATCTTATAAAAGGCAATCCGGATTTTGGAATGCTTGTGCAATCCGGAATCCTGGGCTTTGAAATCCAGAATCCGAGCTCCAAGCAAAATTCTCACGTGCGATAGGAATGCTTCGGTGCCGGCTACCTGAAGTAAGTATCAAATACAGCTATCACTGGCATATTTTGTTTTAATCTGTTTGTGTTTACTTTATGTGTTTTTCTTTTATTCTCTGCATTGCTAAATATGAGGGTCAAGACACTTCCGTGGTGGCCGTTATTATGCGACTCTCTGAAACATTCCTCATAAGTTGTCCTCTGCGTAACTCACACGAGAGAATTCCCTTGATGGCTAGCCGGTAATTTTGCATTCTACAGGGATACACAATTGGATTTATCCCTGAATTAGCCATCACAAGATAAAATTGAACATCCCGAATCCAGTTGATAAACACACAATTGCATGTACTACACAAGTTTATAATGTAAATACAAACACACGATGGAAGGAAGCAAGCCAGAAATACCACCAGCACGATCACAAGAGCTTTAGTCATCTTCTTCTCCCATTCCAAAGCTCTCTTCTTAGCAATATTCTCCTCGGTGCTGTCGTGTAGATCTTCCCATCTTCTAGCTTGCTCTTGAAAGATTCTAAGGATTTTTGCATTGGTGACAATAAGAACCGCAAACGTCACGATAATGGCAACGTTGGCAAAAACGAATCGATAAATATTCAACCCAAATTGGAAGTACATCAACGACAGCAATGCAGAGATGACCCAAGCGATGGCAGATATAAGAAACGCTTTCCAACGATCCAGCCAGACCATATAAAACAATGGATACGAGACAGATACATACCGATCAACTCCCAAAATGATCAAGCCGAAAAGAGATGCATTGCACACAGTGAAGTACGAGAAGAATAAATACTCGTGGATCTCAGGTTTCAAACGGCTCTTGAGTCCTTCGGATACATGGTATATTACCGACATAGGGGCGATACCGATTCCAACCAGAAGGTCTGCAAATGCCAAGTTCGCAACGAAATAGTTGAATGGCGATCGGAGATTTTTGTACGGGTCCAAAAAGACGGCGAGTAGAACGAGTGAGTTTCCGACGATAGCGACGATACTAATTAGTGCGGAGACGGAGGCGGTTGTGAATGAGAGAACAGTCGGAACAGTGGCATTACTGCATGGATATTCCCCAATAAGGGACATGCTCACAAGGTTGTGTCGTTTCACAAAACAGAATCGAAGTCACAGAGACCCACAGATTGTCTCTCTTTCCACAGCAAGAATTAAATATGTTCACAATTATTGGAAACAAAAACACCGTCAGGTTTTAAGTATTGATCTTTTGTCGTTTTTCGCTGACCCTTGTCCAACCACGCTTCCCAGATGCAAGAGCAGTCAGACTGGCTAAGACTCTGTCACGCAAAGGTCACGCAAACAATCCAAGTTCGTATGAAGGTGCATGGCACGCCAGTTCTACATTGTATTTTTCTTTAAATCTGTTTATCTATTTATTTATTTATTTATTTATTTATTTACTTATTTATTTATGGTCTTTATATATTTTTATTTATCCTCTGTATGACAAACGCGCCAACAACTATTCTTCCACACATCCTTTTTTTTCTGTCACGTAAATCTCAGTCTATATTTCAAGTTATTCCCTGTATAGTCAAGTCTCTTAGTGCAAAATATAGGCCGGATAGTTACAGACGTGACAAAAGTGTCAAATTTGGCACAGAGCTTCCTTAGCACCGGCCCATTAATACTGGAGGGGGTGCCCGTTACAAACAGTCCTAATCACAGATAAAAGGCGTGGTTAACTTTCACCTACAATAAAAGATTGGGTGCCCTGTGGTGAGTACTCTTCTTGTTTGATTTGGCCAAAAAACATTTTTTTCAAATTTTTAAGTTTTTAATTTGGTAATGTTTAGTTGTTATTACACTATTCAAAATAGTATTTACAGGCACATAATACTGAAAAGTGCCCAGTCTCCACACGGTTAGTGTGGCCATGTTCACTGTGTAGCTATCAGTGTCACTGCGAAGACTTGCCAGTGATAATACCATTACATATCAATTTAAACAGATCACAAAGCCAGCTTTCAAAGATGTCATACAATAACATAAAACCCAAATGTATCACATCCTAAACGATAGAATCGTTAAATTTTGACATGCCACATGAACAACCTCATAAACCATAACTGACAACGCGCCCACTTTGTAATTGTGCAGCTAAGATTAGATTATAATTTGATTCGTTGGTAACCTGTCCTTGAGATAATTAAAACATGTCAACCTCGTCCTCAGGGGGAAAAGGAGGAGCAAGGGTGGCACGGTTGGTGAGTGAGCAGCCTTCGGTGCTCCAGGTTCTGAGTTCAATCCCCGGTGTCAAGACGTCCTTATTTCAACTTCTCTCCTTTCTGTGTAGCTTTGACTAGCTTTAAATACCCTTAAAACGGAGAATTAATGGAGAGAGGGGGGTAAAAGGAGCGCACCGTCGACCTCACGTTTATCAGTTATTACTGCTGTCACGAGTTATTGACATAAAATGTGGTCGCTTTACCTTTTTCTACCTTTTTATTAAGCCCTGGGGACGAGGTTGCAAAACATGCCCCTCCAGGAATTTTTAACACTCTTTATTTTTTACACATTTGCATTTACAAAGCAGCGTATGAGGTCCCTGCATGCCTAGGCACCTGTAAGGAGCTCATTCACTTCAGAGCCTTCGCACCAGAGTATTAATGGTAGGTCTATACGATCTTTCAAAAAAAGGAAGGTCGTCGCGTGCGTTATAATTTACAAACAAACTAAATTCAGAAGAGCTGAAAGTTACAGGAACAAGGCCTCTTTTAGCCAAACAATGATGCATCATTTATGAAAATGAAAGTAATTTGTTTCATGCAATTAGGCAAATGCCCCTTGGTTACGAAATCTTACGATCATGAATTCCTCGAGAGCAATTCAGTTACCAACTTTTCAGAAAATAATGCTGTGGAAAATTATAGAAAATATCAAAAAAAGCAAGGGTCAACAATAATTATGGCCTGGTCCCTTATAACTAGGGGTACCTTTCGGCAAGTGCCAACAAGGCGAATTCGATTATCTTTTGTGAAATGTGCCTAGTCAGATCTTCGCGATATATTTTTTTTCATAATTTTAGAGGTTTAAAATGGATTCCGCTATCGGAAAAGGATGGCACCCAACTTTAAAACAACAACTTTGGCACATCGTATCTTTAGGCTTTCACTTTTTAATTATTAAACAATAACAACATGGCTTGAAGCTTTGTTGGTAAATATGAGCAAGTTACTACTTATGTTTCATGGAAAATTCAGTTGCATTAAAACCTGATAAACGTTAGAAAGAAAAAGATAGTTCAAATGAGGCCTTTGACTGCTGAAATTATAAACAATAATTAACTTCCGAGCAACAGCGTCATCAGGGATAAGAAAAATGTTTCGCGTGGTAATATACGTAAGAAACAATTGGTGTAAAGTAAAATGTGTGAAAAGCGCAAGAATGGGGCGCAATGTTTCAGAGGTATAAAAATATAAACTTGAATAAAATACAAAGATCTAATGAGCGAGTGTCACAGGACAAAGGAGTGTCTTGAAAGGCATAATGATAGTCTTCAAAACAAAAAGGTCCGCAAATTCGTTGCATTCCTCACGGAAGTTTTGGGCTGTCTCAATGTAAATCGAGCAGCAAAAAAAACATGCTGGTTGACAAAATCTCTCGAATAAATTTTAAAATAAAAGGTCCGCAAAATTTAAAGCTGCTGCTTTAAACGCAATTTATAAAGCAAACCAGAGCACTAATTGCCCTTTCAAACTAGAAATCGTATTAAAGCTTGCTCACCTGTTAGGTCTTCTTGAACAAACAACGAACAGCTGCACACTGAATCACCCAATATCGGACCACGAGTTGTAAATACAAGACCATGACGTCACTACCCAAATATGGGGTCTTACTTACACCCAAATATGGTCAAAAATGCAAATTTTAGAGGGTTACGCAGAATTTGAGAGTTTTTGCCTACATTACGCGGCGTTATAATTTGCCACCGAATCAACCTCGCTTCTTAGCTCGGTTGCCTCGTTGGCAATAATGGAGTGGTCATGATAAAGAATCCCATCAGCCCCAAATTTGACCACTCAAACAGAAAAACTTTGCATTCACTTATGCTTATGTTGCCACACCTGGAGCCTAGAAATCAGCTCCTGGTCACTCTTTGTTTTTATTGCTGAATATCATTCTAAAGAGCTTTACGAAATATTTTGTTAGTTGCGGTGTTTTGAACATGATTGAAATTTAGCCCATGGTGACAAAAATGAACACAAAGAAAGCCACAAAACGAGACGCATGAAACAAACGCAATCTAATATTCGTGTTGCACCGATATAATGGCTCCTTTGGCTGCTATGCTGACGTTTTTTTTTTTTTTAAGATGGAAGTAGTATCACAGCTAGTCTCGGGTAGGGTATACCGTTTATTACCAGTTTCACGGTCCCTGAGACTTAGGGTCTGTTAACATAAAGGTGGGGGACCCCAGGAAAGTGAGGTAAGCTGCTTAGGTGGGGTAAAAAAATAACCCTCCTTTACACGCAATCTTACAACCCCGCCATCCTGGGGTGCACTTTCTCAAGATTATTGAATGGTCGCTAAGCACGAAAACAAGAAAAATGCTAGCAAACCACGTCTACGCTCACTTGCTGCTCTTCCTGCAACCTTCAGTGTTTTGGTTTTCTACCTTTAATAATTATATGAAGCCACCCGGTGCCAAAGTGAATTTTGCACGAATTTGGTGTATCACGAATCTGATCCCGACGAGCCTGGGTTACCTCACCTTGAAACGATGACATGGCAAAATTTGACCTCAGCTGAGAGGGACCCAGTGTGACAGACCGGCTACCCGCCTTCAAGGGTCATCCCACTGATCATGTAAACGTGATCAAATTAAAATGAGAGATTATATGGACAGGAGGGTTACCCCAGCTAAGTGGGCGACCATGCTTACCTGGGCCCCCCCTCCTCGATGTAAACAGGCCCTAAAAGTTAGCCCGGCCCCCTCTACAGTTTCAGCAGTTAAACTATTCACCATTTATCAGTTGAGTCAATATTGTACCACTGGAGTCTCACTTTTACGACTTGATAAGCTGTTATTATTTTTGGACATGAGTGCTGCAGTGCCAAATGTAGAGGCTTCATGATAAACTGTACTGTTTTTGAAGCTTGGGCTAACTTGTTTCCTTTTTTCGTTCATGAGACCAGATTCTTTTTAGTTTGTTTTTCGGCTTTGTAAAGCTTAGACAAACTGCAGGAATTGTGCCACGATGCTTGCTTCTCTGTCAAAACATGCACGTGCGTCCAGCAGATAAAGAGAGACTGAAAGGCATCCAGGCCTATGTTAAGCTGAAAAATTAATTACCTCCTTAGGAAAGCACTCTTTTGCGTTCTGTCATTTCGTTATTTGCTCTTCATGAACAGCTGTCAAAAATCCCTGATAATATGTGATAAAACAGACTCTCTGACAATTTCTTTTATTTGCAATTTTGTGCGTGAATCGCTATGCCATACGCTTTCTTTAGCTTCGGAGTGACTTGTAATGACAAGTAATACTTGATAAATAAGGCTTAAGCCACACAATAAGGCCTCCTCTAATTGAAATACATTAGAAAAGTAGAAGAGAACCCCAGAGGCTGAGTACGTGCAAGTTATGAAGCAAAGACGAGGCCATCTTAGGAATGACTTATGAAAATGTGAGCGGACTGTGGACTTGCTTTAAGGGCACAGTGATAATCAACTTAATTATACAATCAATAAGCTAATAATGGATGGGAATGCCAGCTGTTCGAGTGAAATTGTTGTTTACAACATGAGAAGAGCATTCTGGCAGGGGCACCCAACGACAATTTTCGGAAGAATATCTGTTCGGAAGACGGTTTGAGATCTAGAATTTTCGAAACATTTGTTGTAAAATTTCTTGCTTGCCTGCCTCTCCTAGGATTTTCGAACATCCAAAAAAGGGTATATTTGCCTCTTTTTTAACGGATTTTTACCCTAAAAAGGTCACCTAGAATTTTCGGAAGCCTTTTTTTTGGCTGAAATTTTCGAAAAGGTAAGTTTTGATCCCTATAATTTTCGGATCACTAGACTTTCAGCTAGGAAATCCGAACAGATGAAAAATTTTTAGGGGATAAAAATATTCCTATATCTACCGTTTAAATACTAAAACACGTTTAACAATGCTATGTTTAAGTGGTTTTGAACTATATTCTCGTTGGGTGCCCCTGATTCTGAGTGATTCAAGGTATTAAATAACAATTTTCAATCAAAACACCACAGGGACCACAGGGACCACAGGAGGTGAAATTTACAATAATTAAATCCTGTTTAGCACGCTTCAGTGGCATATTTGCATTGGGCACCCCCTCTAATATTCATGGTACTGCAATAAGCTATCGCTGTGCAAAGTTTGGTGCTTTTGTCAACTCTGTAACGATCCTGACCTTAAGAGACCAGACTAGTAGTAGGTTTTAAAATGATCGTGTTCATGACCATGATGATGTTTATTTATCATATAATGATTACTGCAACCCTATCATTTTAATTCTTGAATTATCATTATTTTTTCTAGTTACTTAGAGCAGTTCGATCTGATTATTAGCTGTATGAACCGACGTCAAGGTGGGGTACAAGTGTGTATGAGTTTTCAAAAGACCAACAAACAAGCAAAACCGAAAAAACTATTTGCAGAAAAAAAGGAACGAGAATTTGTTATTTTTATAGTTCATACGTACATTTATTTCTTTCTTTCATTCCTTGTTATGACTACGCACGATTTCAATATTTTCTTCCACTAATGGCCTGATCTGTCTGCTTTTGTTGACGAATCGTCACATCAAACTATTTATGCAATGTTAAATAATGCCTTCTTCCTCCTGTAGGACAGTCCATGGCAAGTTCATTTTCCTGTAAATCACAAAAATGCAAAACAATTTTATGGATTTTTTTCCATTATCATCTAAGGTAGTTAACCAATGATCAGAAATGTAAAAATACCGAGCTGTCAAAGATATACCAGAGTGATATACACCCGTATTAACTGAACGCATAAAAGACATTTCATAAACAGTAGAACCCCTTTAATATGTGATTCAACTGTACAACACTGTTGATTCGACAGTGGTAGAAAATTAAACAAACTTAATAATAACTTTACTCGAATACTATCTTTTTTTCCCCTTCATGAAAAATGTGCTCTGAGTTAAAGAAAAAAGGTAACAGTTGAACTCAAAGCGTTGCCGCAGACAAAGCCTTGCAATCTTTCTGAATAGCATTAACCCACCAGCTCCATTAATAACCGAGCAAATCCGGTTATAAACTGTCATTGATATTCCCGATGGACTGAATAAGGAGCTGTTGAGTACATCCAAGCTTAAGCACAAACCACTAAAAAGACAATAAAGGACTATTACCAATAATGAGTGACGTAATAGTAACTGGATCATTTCCCTGATGCCTATTGAGCTCTTTCATACACACTCTAAAGATTTTGGTCGTGATGCACTGGGAAATGTAAAAAACAAAACAAACAAACAACAGAAAACAAAAATTACACAATACGTCATCGCATAAGAAGATGACCAAACATTAATATTAATTAATTATTTTTATCAAAGTTTAAATGGACTTCTTACAGCATGTAAAATCATCGATAGTTCTTCTTAGGGGAATGGTGGAAACAACTGTATTCGACGACTAGACGTCTAGGGGACGTAATGCTAATAGAAGGTAAAACCCAAAAGATGAACCCGATGGACGCAAATTTTCGAACTTAACATCTAAAGGTGAGTCTTGAATGTGCATGAAGCTTGTATTGTCAAATAAATTGTCACTAGGGCATTATCAGGGCTTCTTTCCAAGTATTAGAAAGGTGGGTATCCAAATGAGAAACACTGTCTTTTTACGGTAGGGAAGCGGGTACTCGGTCAGGAAAGCGGAGTCATGAGTGCGACGGAACCGGAGCAGAAAGACTAAATCAATTACGATGTCACTCAGTATTTCCCATGCTTTCTCTTTAACCCTATTCGGACTATTCCCCCGCCACCTTTTTAATTGAGTAATGACGTCATCATGACATCACTGCTGTTGTTAAAGATTATTTTAATAATCAAAATAAAATCAAAATCAGAAGTTGGCTAACTCATTTTGTCAGACGCCAAAATATTTTTAAATCGTAATATGGCGTTATATTGACGTCAAATTACGTTATTGTGTCAACCAAATTTTAGCTAGATGTTGGAAATGATGAATACATTTTTCTTTGTAATTTTGGTTGTGGGTTTAAAAAGTTATAGGCGGAGGCCTCCGAAACGTTAGCGCTTTTCTCTAACTCTATCACAACGCCAAACGATAGGGAACGGTGCGCGCCCCAAGTAATGGTCTAAACGATCTAATGGCCAGGTCTAAAGAAAACTGTCATACAATAGTACCCTGCGAGCTACGGTTTCTCCGGTCTTGCGTGGCTTTTAGCGTTTATCAAATCGTTCGCGGGGCGTAAACAAAACCAACTACGCGACAGACAAGCAACGCAAACGACTTCGTAAACGCTAAAAGCCATGCAGGGGAGAAACCTCCGCTAGCAGGTTAAGCGCAAGGCCCCCGCTGGAGTCGGCCGTCGCTCCAAAATCAAAATTAAATTAGGTTCAGCTCACGAATGTCGCGGCTATCATAGAGCGATTTTCGCGCAAACAAGACAGAAACAATACACGAACGGAAATAGAGCGATTTGATTGGTTTATCGAACGGATACAAACGCGCGTGGCTTTTGGTTGGTTAAACGAAAGCTCGGGTGAAAAAACCTTCATGCCCGAGAAATTTCTGGAAATCAATCGATACTTCTGTTTGGCTTCACACTGCAACACGATTGGCTAATCGAACAATGCCTTCTCCATATTAGAGTTTTCTTTGGCGGGAAAACGAAGAGTCGATGTTTTGATCTTTTCAGCCATTACCGAAACCATGTTTCAAGGTTATACGAAAATCGCTCTAACCGGGCCAAGAAATCATAGGAATGCATATACCTCGACCCAAGCGGCTATACTGTTGTACTCAGGAATGAGTTTTCCTTCTTTCATATTGTGACTTGCTGTAATCAGTACAGTAGGCACTTGATTATACGTCTTGTTAAATGTGACCGCCTAAAGTAGAATTCAATACCTGAGAACACGGCTTAATTTGTAATGAATACAGCGCAAATTCATAACTTAAATGAGCAGAGCTACATATAACTTTTTTTTTTCAGATTTCTATTTAGTTAAAAAGAGCAGCTGTACATTTAAGCCTTTAGAAAGACTGCATATAAAATCTTTAACAACATCATCCTAGCGTACAAGTCAAACGTTGCCGTATAGCAAATAAAAGATCAAGCTATACCTGACAAAAAGCATTGTTGTTTGCTTTCAGTGGTTGAGCCGTGTTACTAAAGTGTATGAGATGCTCCGTAGCTTCCATGCCATTTGGGAGTGTTTGATAAGCAATCCAGTTCTACAAAATTGCGAAAACACAAGGTAGCTTGCTTCATGTTTTGAAACATGAATTAGGAACTAGAGATCAAAAACCGTATTCCCCCCTTTCACTTGGCTTGGGTAATTTTTATTTACCTTACACCTTGGTCTACTTTTGGTGGATAGTCTCCTTTCCCAGAATGAGTTTAGTTTAAAGACTTTTAGTCATACATCAAATGGTCGAGCAGAGCCCTAGTCTAATTATGATGTTGATAATGATGATGGCTATACAAATGGAAATGAACGACCAAAATGATCGCGACTGGGTGTAATGACAGAGTTATTGATAGCCTCATCGACAACAATAATGATGATGATGATAACGAGGATATTCCTCTAAATTCAAACCTTGAGATAGTCACTCAGTTCATCTCCACAACCCCCGGCCTTACTCCCCGTCATAAGACTGACTTCAACAACGAAAATGCCAGTGACGCCAGCGTTGTTCTGGCTGGTAAAAAGATTTCGTTGAGGCATCTTCCACCCACACAGTTGCAGCGTCATGTTTAAGGCCCGTGCACATGTGTTCAGCAGTCACTAGTATGTATGGTGGCTCTGAGAACTTTCCCTACAATACAATTTGAACGCAACACCAGTTTAGAAAATGGAAATAATCAGTTCCACAGATTTGGAACTCCTAGCCTATACTTTCTGGTTTAAATGGTCGGGGATTCGATCAGTCCTCTCTTTTATTTATTTATTTCTCATACATTCATTTATTTATTGTATTTTATATTTGTAAAAGAGGTTTTAGTTTACGGCACTGATTTTTACCGCGGACAGATGAAATTTTCCAGCTCTTTCAAGAGATATTCGATAAGTAAACGAGAAACGTCACCAAAAATAGAAATAAACTATGCACATATAATTTATTATCAAAACTCTGCTTTTTTAAAATATGAGTTAATACCGGTGACTTCACCATATTAATTGTCAATACAAATCGCTTGACTAAATTTAGAATGAAAGTATAGCGCGTTGGAAAATGAAGCCCCAAGCCGGGCCGTTCAAAACTGGTCTAAGATAACCCAGAGTGCGAAAATTGAAGTTAGATATGAAAGCTTAAATGCAAATTCAGTTTAATTCATTTTGTCTAAAATTTAATAATTGGATGCTCTTAAGAGATTAGAGGAAAAAATCCTGGAAATACTTTTGAACAAAAGGAAAAGAAATACGTATTAGAATTTAATCCCAGGTTAGCCCTAATCGGCCTTCCAACTACCGGGCACTAGGGTGATGACTTATGCTGATACAGTTCTGTTACTGTACCTCAGGAATATCGACGCTTCTGCAATGTGTTCCATCCCACCAGGAAACGAGGCTTTCCTCCCCAGCAACCGCACCTTCAGGAGCACCTTGGTAAGCGACGAAATCAACAAACGTCAGTCCATTGTCTGGGGTCTGGCGCTCTAAATGACCAGCCTTCAATACGCATGCGCTAAATCCTCCAGCGTAAATTTTCTCTGTCCAAGTAACTGCAGCATCATGAACAAAGTCACCGGTCTCGTTGAAGTAGTTAATAGTTGTTTGCACGTGTACTCTCCGATAATTATTAAAGACATTCTTTTGTAAAATTGCTTCCTTGCATTGAACATCCGATGAACTCAGACGAAGAGCAAGGCGACCGCGGTACATAATGAATTCTGCAACAGAAAAGTCAAGGACTTGTTCACTTTTAGTCAGACTATAATAAAAAATTTGATCGAGACGTAACGATGGGAGAACACAACAAACTTCAAATATTATCGGGCGTGCACTTTTGGGACTTGAAACTTCTTACATAATTTAAAGCAATAGGAAAAGTACTTGGAACTGTATCGTCCTGAATCGGGAATACTTTTTTTATGGAACTGCAATGATCATAAAACTAATATATATGTGGCCATTCGAGTTCGACAAAATTAATAGAACTTCGCCGGAATAAGAGAATTGCAGAACATGTCAACAATTTCAATTCGTCCGGACAACTAAGAAATATGACATTCAATTCCATTATAGACCAATTCGCTAAATAACGAAACGTCCTTTAACGTGCAGGGCTGAACTTATTAGAACGGGGAGTTTGGAGACAGTATGGACTAGAAGGTCGTATTTTTGGTACTGGCGCAACTTGAGAATTATACTTGTCACAAATGGTAGGTAGTATTTTAAGCTGAAACAATTTTAGCTGCAGTTAATAATGCTGAAGGCCACGCGAAAACAATGGGTACGCAAAGTGTCCGCATGCTCGCGCGTCTGAGGCCAAAACACATAAGAAATGTTAGCCTTACATAAAGCACAAATTGAACTTGCAGCCACAAATTTATTACGGTATTATTCGAAGTGACTTACATGAGCAAGACCCAAACAATATCACTTACCATAACAAGAGCCTTCATGCAGCACGGTAATGTTTGCGCGCGTTTGGAGACATCCAGTTTGTGGAAGCAGTGATTCTGGTATGTTTTCCCATTACTTCCACACAAGTGATCTTCAAAAGTTGGGCAGTCTGTTGGACATGCGCAATGCGCTTCCGCAGCACTTGATGCTTGACATAGACCATAATAATTACACGTGACTGAATTACATGGATTAAGGTCTTCAAGAACAAAATAATAATAGAACAGTTATATAGACATAACGGCTTTAGTCACAAGCAATTAGACCAATGCTTTCATTGTGATATTAAACAAACAAACAAAAATCCATTAACAAACGGCTAACAGTGGATGATTAAATGAGTAAATAGTTAATGAATGAACAAATAAACTAGTGAATGAATGAACGTACATAAAAAATAAAGAACGAACGAATGCGTAGAAGAATGAATAAATGAATCAATGAATGAATGAATGAATGAGCGAGTGAGTGAGAGAGTGAGTGAGTGAGTGAATGACTGAATGAATCAATGAACGAACGAACGAACGAATTAAAGGACGGACGGACGAATGGACAGACGAACGGATGATGGATGGATGGATGGATGGATGGATGGATGGATGGATGGATGGATGGATGGATGGATGGATGGACGGAAGGACGGACGGATGGATGAATGGGTGGATGGACGGACGGATGGATAGATGGATGGATGGATGGATGGATGGATGGATGGATGGACGGACGGATGGATAGATGGATGGATGGATGGATTGATTGATGGATAGATGGATGTATGGATGCATGCATGAATAAATGAATGGATGCATGAATGCACGAAAGAATGAAAGGCGGGGTGGATGAACGCATGGATCGTTTCATAACAGAGGAATATTGAAATGTAGAAAGATTGATAATTTAGTGATGCTTTTCCTCGTAAGGACTTTCATTGTTGTTGTTGTTCCTATTATTTAATTTGTTTTCTCAATGTTACGTATTTAGCTACTGATACGGCTGTTCTCACCTCCAATAGCAAGAAAGCTGATAGTTACAGGATCATGATGCTCATCATAGGGTTGTAGATCCTTCATGCAAACGGTGAAACTGCTTCGGGTTATTTCCTAGAAAACAAATATTCAAACCTGTTATGCAAAATCGAACAACCCACCTTTTTAATGCTAGACAAATTTAAAATTTTATATAGTCACTCGAAGCTAGTATTCAAACTATTTTTTGGAATTTATTTATAAACTTAGAGGAAGGGAATCAAACACCCAAGGGTGTGTTTCACACTATAAAGATGTCCAAGAAAGATCTCAGTCTTGAATTATGCTTATAATTGCAAAAAATATAATCCGCGAGAAACACAAAATCCAGTTCAAACCAAATCAGTCAAGAAATCCTGCCATACAAAGTGCGTATTTCTATGATACTGTGTTTTCTTGGGTTCTGTCGGTATCGACTTTTGCGAGATGTCTTCTCAGAGTATGAGTATGAGTATGAGTATGAATAACTAACCTCTAACCATTCAGTGATGACCGTGTTGACGTTTTTTGGATTCATTCTGTGGCTGGCACTTGTTATCACGATAGGTGAAGCATAGAATGGCTGGCTAAAGTTGACTCTCTGTTTTTAAATAAAGAAAAAGATAAAATCGAAACAAATATCGAATACACCGTAGTTTCAAGCATATGCACATGAGTTTCCAGGTCAATTATTCTTTACCTTATATGCGCAAGCCTACACCGTAATTTTTAGGGAGTTATTATAACTCCAAAAATGGAGTAAAAATTTTAGGTACAGGATAACCCCTTTTTTGGGGTTATTTTAACTCCTAATTTAACTCCGAATTTGGGGTCATTTTTACTCCTGAAAAAGAGTTCTTTTTACTCCCAGTCTTGGAGTTAAAATTACTCCGAAATGGGGTTACTTGTACTCCTTACAGGGGTTGTTTTCACTCTTTTTGGAGTTAATTTAACTCTGAAAGTGGAGTAAAAATTTTAGGTACAGGATAACTCCTTTTTTGGGGTTATTTTAACTCCTCAAAATCTGTGGTCACTTTTACTCCTGAAAAAGAGTTCTTTAAACTCCTTTTTGGAGTTAAAATAACTCCACGAAAAATAACTCCACTGTAAGGAGTTAAATTAGCCCCACTAGAGGAGTTATTATAACTCCCTGAAGATTACAGTGTAAGGTGTGATTACACGGTAAGCGCCAATTCGAATAACCCTTTGGGGAACTTTTCAACTTAGAGGGCAACTGCGCATGCATGTCTACATGCCTGATAGCAACTTTGTGAAATCCAGAATCTTGGGCTTTGGAATCATGGAATTTGAAATACAGCTAAAAAAGTTTAGAATCCCGTAAACGATTGGAATCCGTTATCCAATTTCCGTTGATAGGGAATCCGGAATCCACAACATGGAGTCCAGAATCCAAGACGGTCTTGGACTCCCTTAAATGGGGAGAGACATCTTGGCAAAGGAACCGAAGTAGTCATTATACAGACAAGAGGTCCCGGCTTTAATCGCGATGAATGTAAATACTTACTACCACATTTAACATCCTGATAACATGGGCAAGAGGGGACGAGGACCCCCAAATCCTAATAATTTCACTCAGGCATCTGGGCAACTTGTCTTCCAGAAACAAGGTTACTTAGTTAACTAAGGTTAGAGGTCTAGCGAAAGTTTTTTTTTTTTTTTAATTAACTATCACGCTCAATATACAGAAGTTTAAGAAGACATTGTGTTCTAACTGAAATGCAAAACGTACCTGGCAGAAGCTATAATGTTGGACGCTTGTTAATGGCTGGTTATTTGGTAAAGTCACATTGCTTTTGATTGGAATTTTCTTATTCTACTCACTGGGAATGTCCTCTAGTGCAAGCCACGCCTAATTTAGAAAATAAACAATTTCATTTAGCTACGTTGGATTATGGTATTAAGCACCTATGTAAAAATAAATCTTTTTATAATTCACCAAATTTTGTCCCACTACTTAGGTCGGTCAATCCTGGACTCTACCGTGAGCTGTGATGTCGCCAAATGAGACTCGCAGAGTTCTCTCGCGCACACTTTCCTAGACTTCGCAAAGAGAGAAAGCCTGGAGAATAGCCTGAGATGGTCTTTGTCATTTAATACTGAAACAACAAATATTCTTGCTGTTATTGTAATCTCAATAGATAGGTATTGTAGATGTTTTCACTTACTGCTCGAATGCTTGAGTGAACGCCGTCGAAATTCTTTAGCTCTCTAAGGCAAAGTTTGAATCCAAACGTTGAGATACTCTCCACCCAAATTAATGATGGATCGCCTTCTTTTTCTGGCTGTCTTTGTACTGGTGTGGCGTAAACATAAGGGGCTTTTGTAAATCCCTAAAGACGATTGCGTAAATCAGGGTTGGGCACTTGCTACCCTTTTCTAATAATTCGCATTGTAGTCATACAGTTGTAAGATGCCATTATCATATCATTAATAATAATAATAATAATAATTTAATAATACAAAGAAGATCTTTATTACAAAACTTCAATTAAAATCCTATTTACATTCAACCTGCTGTTACAAAAAATGTAATCAATTCATCAAAACACTATCTACAATTCCATCCGTTACAAAAGAAACCCCTCGGCCTTTATTAGAGAACAAAAACAATCCTATATATAATAAGTCAAGAAAGAAACTATTCATTTACAAATTCTGAAAAAGAAGTAACTTAACCTTACACAAAAGAAGAGGAAGTAGATATAATTAATAATAAAAGTTCAAAATTCTATAAAATAAAGAATTCCATTATGCAGAGATATTAAGATTATACAATAATTAATAATAATAATAATAATAGTCTTAATTAATTCATTGCACAACATTTAGCCACTGCCTCATAAATTGTGTTTAGTTGTCCGAAATGTAAAAAACTCGGAAAAGAGATTTTGGGCCATGCGGTTTAAAACTCTAGAACAACGCTTTAAATATTCCCAGAAGCAGTTGGCAGCAGCATCTATTCTAAATGCGGTATCACGTAGGCTTTATAAAGAGAGATCATAACGTCAGAAGGAATTATGCGCTTAATCCTTCGCGATGATGCAGCAATCATCATCATCATCATCACCACCACCACCATCGCCAAACAACATTAACCCCATTCAAACCGGGCTTTTCTTTTTTGCTTCCTGTGACCTCTATAACTTCAAAACTGCCCATCGTACGTCCAATAAAATTACACACAATAATGTAGTCATCATTTGCAACTTCTGGGCATAACTTAATCTGACGTTATTAGAACCCTATATTGCTGAATTTATTGGCGGAATCCAAATGATTTCCCTCAAGGTAAACATAAAGCGAAAAATACTTAAATAGTAAGGTCTCTGATAAAATCAAGAAAGCTGTTTAACGGAGTAAATGATCCTTAACAATAGCAATGATGTCGTCATGACGTTATTTATTACTAAAAAGGGAAGTGGAAGAATCCGCCATTTTGGATCCGCTATTTGAATTATTTAAATGTTACCATTTGACTTAAATCTCCTATAAATTCAGGTATTTATAACAGAAAACTTACTATTTCTGAGTATAAAAGGATGCTTAGGAAGCCACCCCCCCCAAAAAAAATCATCAAAGTATGAAATTCCGAGAGACTGATTAAGACTGTTGAAAATTTAAGTCAGCATCTGTTATTTGGTCATATAAAACTCATGTTACAATAACTTTGATAAAATAACGCTAAATAAAGAGTAATATAATAATTCCATCTATTAAAATAGAAATACAACCTATTTTTTAGAGAAAAAACCGTGGAGGCCAAAACTCGGTTTCCGTGGTAACATCAGTGTTGACATAAACTTCACGAGATAAATTTTAAATTCCCAGATAAATTTTTGGAAAAGTCGCTAAGGTTAGTGGTCCCTGCTTGAACAGCTTTAAAGTTATTCAACTTCTTAGTGAGGGGGACCTCAAAAGCTGAATAGGGTTGACATAATTCAGTAATCGCATAACAACGTTAGATCTCGTCAGGAGCCCATCAAATTTGATGGGCTCCTGATCTCGTTAATACGATCTGCAACTCGGACCCACCTTTCCCTCCAAATCAACGGCCACACATACTGTTCCTGTTGTCCAGAGCGAAATGTCTTCAATTCCTTCCTTTCCCCCACTGGGTACGACATCATAAGCTAGCCATTGTACTGTCACCTCCCTGCTCGGTCTGATTGGCCCTGAAGTGGCGACACACGCTTCAAATCCCGAGATGTTCACTCGCTCGACCCAGCCCACCACAGCTTCGTATGTCGGTGCCCGTGAATGATGATAGGAGAGTTGGACTCTTATGGAGTCTTCCTTGGTGAACGATGGTACGAAGGAAAGTGAATGACAAAGATGTTCGCTGTATGGCAAAATAGTAATAAATTCTCACTAGGAGCCCTCACTCCCAAACGCCCCAGGCAAGGATAAGATATGGGAAGAAGCGAGCCCTACGGCTGCTACTCCCGAAAGCCAGGGCAAACTACCACAATAAACCAGAAAACACGTAACTCTCCCCAAAACTCAAAAGAAAAGGTTTATTATTGACAACTCTTGACAGTCCTAGCACGATTCTAAAAAACGGAGAGACAAGTAAAATAACCTCACGGGAAAACTGGTGTAAAGATCGTAAATTCACCGTGATCGCTATGGAAGGCGAAGTGAGAGGGACTGCAACGCGAGACCTTTCCCCTTCCCGATTGCACCATCGGATAGTATAAAGCGATATCTGAACTGGGAGGAAATCGTAACGAGCGTTGTAACAGGGCGAGGCTTACAAATGAAAAAACTAAAGAGCAAAACTAACCAACGAAATGGTAGGAAAAGGGGAAAAGTCAACCGCGAAGCAGCCCCGAAATACCCCGTCCAGGGACAGAGCAATTAAGGGTATAAGAAAACCCCATCGAAGGCATACCAGCGGTTGACTTAAGGAAGGATAACCCGAGGGACAAGTGACACGGACCATTTGCTAACAACTCGACCAAGCACAAGGCACTATAACGTGATGACCAATGATGCATTCATAATATTACATAGCCGCAGATCACAGAGTAAAAATCGATCACAGATCACAGAGTACAAAGAATCGTCACACATGCAGACACAAATCAAATCTCCATACGGAGTGCCAAGAAGAATATGAGTCATAAACACGCCAGAATGGAAAGTAAATTGGTCGCACAGACCCCGAGGACCATAAATCTGTCACACAGACTTGTCACACAGACTCGTAACGTCACGTCCCTCGTCACGTAAATCAAATCTTAAGAGAGAGTACCGATCATAAATCACGCGGAAATGAAAAGTAAATTGGTCACACAGACCCTGATAGGACCTCGGCACACAGCCGGATGCATAACATTTGTCACACAGACGAGAAAACTAAATTCGTCACACAGACGAGAAAACTAAATCTGACACACAGACGAGAAAACTAAGTTTGTAACACAGAGGAGAGAACAAAATTTTGTACACAGACGCGAAAACTAAACTTGTCACACTGACGGGAAAACTAAATTTGTAACACAGACGGGAAAAACTAAACTTGTCACACAGACTTGTCGCACGGACGGGAAACCAAAGTTGACACACAGACGCGGGAACTAAATTTGTCACCCAGACGGAAAACTAAAGTTGTCACACAGACGCGAAAACTAAGGCTGTCACACAGACGCGAAACCCAAACTTGTAACACAGACGGAAAACTAAACTTGTCACACAGACGGGAAAACTAAATTTGTCACACAGACGAGAAAATTAAATATGTCACACAGACTTGTCAGCCAGACGGAAAACTAAACTTGTCACACAGACGAGAAAACTAAATTTGTCACACAGACAGAAAACTAAATTTGTCACACAGACGCGAAAATTAAATATGTCACACAGACGCGAAAACTAAATTTGTCACACAGACTTGTCACACAGACGGAAAACTAAATTTGTCACACAGGCGCGAAAATTAAATATGTCACACAGACTTGTCACACAGACGGAAAACTTAAAAGTTGTAACACAGACGCAAAAACTAAATTTGTAACACAGACGCGAAAATTAAATATGTCACACAGACTTGCCACACAGAAGGAAAACTTAAGTTGTCACACGGACGGAAAACTAAGTTGAAACAAAGATGCGAAAACTAAACTGGTAACACAGACGCGAAAACTAAACTTGCCACACAGACGGAAAACTAAAGTTGTACACAGACGCGAAAACTAAATTTGTAACACAGACGCGAAAATTAAATAGTAACCCAGACGCGAAAACTGTAAACTTGTACACAGATGCGAAAACTAAACTAGTAGCACAAACGCGAAAACTAAAACTAATAACACAGAAGCGAGAACCAAGCTAAAAGACCAACAACACCTGGCCCGAAAAACACGCCGAGGAAACGAATACAAGGACAAGAGAAAACACCAACCACCAGAGCCGCAGGATGGGGCGCAGGAACCACGTTGTCGTTAGCGTTCTGTGCGTTGTTGTCACCGGCAGCGTCGGCTGGAGCCGGAGGCGCGACAACTGGAGGGTCAACGGCCGCTACAACAGCTCCATCCGCAGGAACAACAGGGACTTGGTTCGACATGGAGAACGAAGAACGAAGAGAATCTTCGAAGATGGCGCAGCGATGACCGGGCAAGAGAAAAAGAACGCCAAGCTAACGACTGGCGAACGTTTAATGAAAAGACAATTAAACAGGCCAAAACAGGCCTATTTATACAAAACCTGTGTGAAACAGAACACCCAGGAGACTACGAGCGCGCGGGAATTGTTATCCTTGAATCCCGAAGGGATTTGGGGCGTTTGTACGAGATGGCCCCAGTGAGAATAGTGACCGTCTTTCTTCCAAACAATATGGCAGCTTAAATAAAAATCACGCTCCTAGTAACTAAGGGCTGATTAATTTGTAGCATGCACGTAGAGCTTTCCCATTTATCAGTCGCAGGTTTTTGTTATTTTTATGCTTAAAAACTGAAAAAAGGTCCATGGGGGAATAGTACGGCTCTTCGCATAAACTACAAATAATGTCCATAATGAGCTCAAAACACAAGACTATATTGACACGTGACTCCTCGAATGGGCCAAAAAATTGGCAGCAAAGAGTAGGCATCGTCGCTTGGTGAGAGGTTTTCTAGGTTCAAAGATGTAGGCTCAATAGTGTTGCATCATGTGATAACGGCTGACGTCATCACAAAAATGCACTTTAGTTTAAAAAGATGCACAGACTATCTTCAAATGATTTAACGTGCACGTGATTTAAAAAAAGGGTGATTGTGGGTGTCGCACGTGCGTTTTATGTCGCCCATTGCAAAACAACCGATTTTGGCTGTGGCTGTTGTTGTTGTTGATGTTCGCCCTGAAACAGTCACCAGTTGAATAGACAACAGTTCATAGAACTAGAACTTCATAGAGTAAGGATAAGCTTAGAGTAGGTCAATACGTACAAGAGGTATATTTGGACTAACCTGAAATTTCAGGAACCACGGCTACTACCTCCATTGCAATAAACCATTCGAGGACACGCATTGTGATTTGAGACGTTTCCTATATCCGATAATGACCTAGTCTACGAAGTAAAGTTTGTTTTCATCGAAAAGTAAAAATTCTAGAAAAGCAACCGGTTATGGAACAAACGAAAACTTAGGCGATGGGGAACATTTGAAGTCACCACATTTGCAGCATCGCCCGTTCGTCTAAACTTCTCACCCATGCTTTTGATTTAAGCGTGATGAATCGAAATTACACAAATTAAAACACATCTCAAAAGACAAAAGCTCTGTCTTCCCTAGGGGAGGGCGAGGGGAGGGAAGGGGAGGGGAGAGCTGGTTGCTGAGCACGGTCCTTATGGTTGTTTTTGTTATTGCTGTTTTTAATGTAGTTCTGCAGCTACTCTGCAGGTGAGTATTTTATCTTGGTGATTGTGCCCCTGCTGGTAGGTTAAATGATCACGTAGTTAAAGTCGCGTTTTAAAATAATAGTTTACCTGCTTCCCTCCTCCCCTCTATCGAAGCAGAATTTACCACTGGCAGTGACACAGGTGAAAGAAAGTTGAATCTCATTTCAGCTAAATTTGTTTACTTATATTTTATTTTCAGTGCTCTTGTTTTGCTGGCTTGTTTAATTCGCAATTTAGGGTCTTACTTTTCCTGCTATAAACAACCGTGTTTTTGTAAGGTATCTGGGACTGAAATGACATCATATGAGAACACAAAAAAAAAATGTGCAGAGGAAAAGTTTCACCTGAGATGAAAACGTTTTTCTTTGTAGGCATGCGCACTCCCCAACAGAGAAAAAAATAAAAAGAAATGCAAACTCAAAATTTACCTCTACCAAACCCCGAACCCACCCCCTCCCACTCTCCGTATTATCATTATCATTATCATTATCATTATAATCATCATGGTTATTATTACATGACGATGGAGGTTAGTTCCCAAAGGAGTCAAAGGAGAGAAACGCTTTTGTTCTTGAACCGGTGACCATCATGGTCGCCGTAACGTCGCGTGGTTCAGTCAAGTGCAAACACGGCATATGTTTCAAAATCTAATATAAAAAAAAAAACAATTTAGTATAGTTGAAGAGTAATTTTTATTCTTTTTTTGTATTTCATCCTAGCAACCTGGCCGTTCTAATGTTGTTTAGCGACATCTGCTGAATATTTACAGTCCAAGTACCAACTATAGAGACAACCTCCACTTCGGTTGTCGGTGTCATCTCGGAAAGCCTCGGTAAACGCCGGATAGTCGACAGTGGTCCATCCGCTACAGCTGTGGCGATTTTTCTGGCTCTGGGAACTGCCTTCCGTTTCCCTGAAACAGACCCGGCACATGTTGAATCCTCAGCTGTTCGCACCGCTTGACTGCACCATCCACTGGTAGGTACAGCCACCGCTTCTATTATCGGTATCATCACAGAAATGGGCCGTCCATGAGGGGCGTGTACTCCAACCGGTACACGAGCTTCGCACTCCCAGACACTATGAGCTGCCTTCGGTCTCTCTAAAGCAAAAACGATATTCTTGGTTTGCGGGAGCCCTTCTTTTCGATTCTTCATCGATACTCGCATCCGTGAGCTCTGTTGTCTGTGTCGTTTCTGAATGGCGCTGGCCAAGCGGGGTTGGAGCTCCACCCATTGCAGGTGTACACTGGTCCTTGGCACTGACTAACTCCTCTCAGTTTCCAAGAAGCAAATTCTAAAACCTTGTTGAGCCAAACATCCGGAAAATAATCCGAACAAGAAATCCGAAAGTGCTTGTTTACCATGTCTCAAGCTACTGGTGTCAAAATGAAGTAAGATAAAGACAAGAAAAAAATTTACAATATATTGCGTTACAAATTATCATCCCAATCTCCGCCTCAAAAGTCGGTGGAATTTAAGCT